CCCACCAGGTATTTCGTCGATAGCCAGTTCATGTGTGGCAATGATTAGATTAAGGAGTGTATCATTAAATGCTATGTACCATCGTGTCCGGCTCCTCCGCCCATTATAACCATTATCATCCATCATCGCAAACATTCGTGTTATTATATGATCATACCATAAGTTCGTGTGCTGCACTTAGCAGACGGTGATGTACAGACCCAGAGGCGAGGGGTTGTAGTCCTCGAAGAACCAGAGCGAGGTGTCGCCCTTGCTCTTCAGCTGGAAGCTGACAGCGTTGCCAGCAGGACAGTCAAAGGTGGCGATCGAGTATCCGTTGCCGGGCACGATCTGGACCGTCTTCAGCTCCGACTCGACGGCGGGGGCGTTGTTCGCCGTCGTCTTCTGCGTGGCGACGCCCTTGAGCTTGGAGAAGACGACCTCGCCCGAGCCGCTGAGCTTCCAGTCGGACGTCTCGAGGTTCTCCTTCTTAGGGAACAGGAAGACGAGGCTGCACGTCTTGCCCTTCAAGCTTCCGGGAATGTCGAAGTTGAAGATGGACGAGATCTTGGAGTCGGCCTGGCCGTTGTACGACGTGCCGGCGGCCTTGTCCGGGTTGGAGCTGTCGACGGGAATGATCAGGTGAGGGAACTCGTAGGGGCCGGAGAGGTTAGTCGGGCACGACTTGGGGGGCGGAGACTGCTGGGGAGGCGGCGGGCTCACGACCTTGGTCATGGTCTGGACTTGGGTCTGCGGAGGAGGGGCCGGGCAGCCTTGGGTGACGACACTCGTGATGACCTGGGTCACCGTGGTGGTCTTGGGGGGCTGCTGCTGGGTTACGGTGACAGTCTCTTTGGGAGGACAGGTCGGCTGGGCTTCGGTGGGCTTTGGCTTGGGGCATTCGGGCGTGCAGCCGTCAGAGGTGAGCGTCACCTTGGCGCAGTCCTTGCCCTGACCGTTGAGGAGGTAGATGTTGTACTGGCCGTTATCGGCGTCACACTGGTAGAATTCCTTCTGCCCATTGAACGAGACGGAGCCGTCACACTCAAACTTCCAACCCTTCTCGGGTATCTGGCCCACGTCGCACTGGAGAAGCTTTGTCGGGGCTTCCAAATATTAGCAGAGGTATCATTGAAGGGGAACATGTGAACATACGAGTCCACCAGCACCCGCGGCCTTGGGAGTCCCAGGCTGTGTCACCGTCCAGCTTGAAGGTTGCCGGGCTGAGGCCGATCCTGGCCTGGCCACTGCTGAGCTGGCCAATATTGCCAGACGCTGAACCGGCCGCCTTCAGGTGGAAAGAGCACTGTTCGCCACGAGGGGCAAGGGCCTGGGCGGCGGCGGCCAGCGAGGCCAGCGAAGCGAGTGTGTATCTCATGTTGCCTTGTGAATTGATGAACAGAAAAGTACGAGAGAGGTACGGACTGAAGGTTGTATGGCTGTTCAAAGAATCTGTAGAGGTGATGAGAAGGTGATAGAGTGACACAGGAATGCGACTTGAGGGAGGTTTTTCATCTCTTATATAGATGTCATGACCGGCGCAACGCCAGCGCCGTGGCAACCAGGATGGATCACATACTCCCTCCCTTCCTCACGGTCGTTGAAAATCATGGATGCTATACTTGGCAACAGAGAACACAAATCAACGCTCTCGACGGCGCCGTATCGAGCAAATACCACGTCACCTGCGGAGCAATGTGACGCTGATGACCACTGTTTTGGGAGCCTCCAGTCGTGAGGCACCAGCACCGCCGCCTCACAGCTATCAGTCTAGTTGCTACTGAGAGCGTTGCGATTCGGGGTTTTGCAACGTTGAGCCTGTTGACTAGGAAACCCACATGAGGTCAGGGTGGGGTGATCGACTCTAGGACAAAGACGACGTGCCGATGGGCCGTTGACATCTCCACTGCGGAGGCTGGTGATGTGACTCTATGGGCTCTCCCAGCATAAGGTTTTTGAACTTGGTGGACGGTGAAATACGGTGATCAACATTGATCGAGACGCTTCATGAGCTGTTGTTAATCCCTGCTACGTACGATTTTGTCACCCGTGACACTTGCTTTGAACCTGTCGTTTCGGGGGGCGCAGTCAAGGAGAGTGCGTTGTGAATAGAGACACCAATATCGATCACAGTCAACTCTCTCGGCAGCTCCTGTAGGAGCACTACGTGGCTGGCACCAACCCAACATCACTCGCCAGCGCAAGTCTGATGTGAACATTGGGCGGGGATTCGCCGTTAGGGCCGACAAGCGACTGAAAACAAGGACTGGGCCCCAAGGCGTTGGTCCTGCCGCGAAGTATTTTCCTCGGGCATCGTGGGGTGCAAGGGTGACGGCCACGCCCGTCCAGAAAGTCAAATCGCTGGACATGGCGGGAATTCGAGGGTGAGTGTCATATGACGTTGAATGGTAGGTCGGTAGGGCGCCGACATTTTAGCTTTCTGTCTTCGCTTAATTGTTAGTGGCTCGTATTGAGAATGAAAAAAAAGTGCACCAGCAGATCGTGTCGGAGACGCGCGACTTGGAGAGGTTTGCAGAGCCTGAAGGTCCGCTGACGACTGCCGTATGAGGCATCACCAACTGATATGACCTCTCAGATGGGGAAATTTTTTGTTACTCGATATTGTAAGTGGATGTTGTCATACTTGCTTTCGTGGAGCCGACCGATGGAAGCACGGTACACTTTTTCTTGTTTCGAACATGCATGCTGTCTGTCATCCACTGTCACTGCCTGATCCGGACTATCTAGGCTGAGCTGGTGGGAAAGCCGTCGATGTTATGGCGTTGACCTAAACCAACCCAAGTGAAGATCATCTGGTTTGAACGTCTCGATCAGCACAGAACCGGGGTTGCGGGGCGGGTGGAGGAACAACCGTCGTAGCCGAACCGGCCTACCCGGGTGAGGCGGCATCGTTCACGGGTGGCGGGCATCTAGCAGGAGGGAGGCTCTTTACGAGTTCGTATTCCCAACGACCGAATTGTGCCTCGCCGAGGCGAACTAACCCGGTTGACTCGGTCTTGGTTACGATCAAACAGCAAATCGACATCGACGCAAGCAGGTCAACACAAGGCATCAGACGATTTTATGGTGTCACCGAATCCATGGTAAACTGCAAAGCGCTGGTCCGTTATTTCCGATCGTGATGGAATCATGGATTTTGCTTCTCCCTCTTCTCTTCGGCAAGGGAGGTAGCTCTAGTTTCTCTTTCGCCTTTTGGTGCTGGATCCTCTGCTGAGACTCCTCTCGCTCTGAGAGAGAAAGTGACGTCTTCAGACTCGTGCCCTTGCTACCAGCATCGCTGTCGTCCCTTGCGGGTGCCAAGCGAGATGACGTCGTCAGCATCATAAGAGCCCTCGACGTCTGTCGGCTTCTTTCATCCTATTCATCCGATTCGACATCGTCTTCAAGAAGCAAAAACCGTCAAACTCGTCAATCCTTCCTCATCAGCTGCAGCAAACGAACCAGCTCCCGGCGTCGAGGGACCCATCGAAGTGCCAGGGACGCTCGCGGCGTCTCCCGCCCGTTTCCTCTTCAGAGGCATCTCGCCAAGTCTTCCACTTCGGCCCTCGATGTCGTTGCTCTCCTTCGCATCCGCATCCTCTTCCACGGGCGCTGGCGTGAACCAGGGAATCTTGCCCCGCATGAAGTCGTTCAGCACCATCTTGGCAACACCGTCCAGGTCCGGCTCGCCCTTTCGGAGCAAGCGACCATTCTTCCGTGCCAGCATTTCCAAGAACTGGATGTGATCCTCATAGCCCTTGAGCTCGTAGGTCCTCTCCAGGTGGTGTGGCTTCACCTTCTTCATCAAGCCAGGGATGTACTGTTCGGGGTTGTCGACGTTCTCAACACGAACGACGCCACGAAGGAGAATATCCTCTGGCGTGTCGGTCTGAGAAGGAGGCACGATACCCGGGCAGTCAATGAGGTATATCCTCTTGGTAAGAGTGATGTACTGCCAGACCTTGGTCTCGCCAGGGATGGGCGCAACAGTGGCAACCTTTTTGCTTCTCAGCGTGTTGACGATGCTGCTCTTGCCCACGTTTGGATAGCCGATGAGGCCCACCGAGATTTGTTTCCTGTCGCTGTGCAGCTTTTGCATATTGACGAAGCAGTTCAATAAGACTACCCTTGCCAAAGGGGGTTCGTGATGCTAGAGTGCATCGCGAGTGTTTGGCCTTCTGCTTTGGGAGAAGTACTTGACCCAACGAGCCTTGTTTCTAGTCAGTGACTGTCGTCGAACAGAAAGAACTGTGTAGCAAGTGAAGAATATGTGCGCTCTGTAGCTACTAAGAAATGCCGCCACGAAAGGCTGTAACAAGTACCGGCAGATTTCAACTCAATGTCAAGCAGTACCAATCTCATGATAGAAATTCCAAAACGGACACTATCAGCCAAGGCCCGAGAGCCAAGACAGCGAGACGGCGTTTGATTTTCCCAGGGTGTAACGCAAACCATCCATTGCGGGCACCGTAGTGCGGTTGGCTTCCTGACAAGACCACTGGGGAAAAGAGTGTGTGTACAGAGGAAAGACAGAATGACTTACAGCAACAGTTGTGGGGACGAGATCAGTCTTGTTCAGGACAAAGATGAGATGTTTGTGCGGCGCCTCTTCTCTGAGGTACTTCTCAACACTCAGACACCTGGTACCAAGAGGGTCGCGCGCATCCAGCACGTGAATGACGACGTCGGACGAGTCGAGCACGCGGTAGAGCTCGTTCCAGATACGCTTGCTCTGACCCTTGTTGAAGATGGGTTCGATTGACATGCCAACATGCGCCTCGTCCTCAGCCTCGCCGGAGTTGCCACTTAGGAGCTTCGCCTGCTCGCGACGCTCCTCGTATGTGTCCATGCTCTTGTCGACATCATCCGCCAGATCAGCCAGGTTACCGGCACCAATCTTGACTCGCTTGCGCTGGGCCTTGGGACCAAAGGTGTCAGCAAACGACGATGTTTCAATCGTCATTTTGGCGTGGTGCTTCTTCTGACCCTTGGCATCCTTCGTCTCATCGCGAATGAGCGACATGGGAAGCTTATTGGTCTTGAGGAGGACTGAGTAGGGGTCGGAGGTCTTCTCGGCCATGGCGGTCCTGAAGGCGTTCAGGCTGTCCTGGGAGATGACACGTGTGTTGCCAAACCACTTGCGGTTCGGCTCTATCCTGGCGTTGGGAACATCCCGGCTCTGGAAGGAGGCGGCTATGGTGATGTCTCCGGCGGCGTTCCTCGTGGGTTTGCCATCCTTCAGCATGTTCAGGGCCTTGACTCTCTTGGCAGACCTGAGGCATTGTCAGCATGGCGGCGTGGGGGATAATGGTTTCCGGCGAGAGTATTCACCTGTAGAAGTTCTCGCCCTTAGTCTTGATGTTGGCAAACTCGCCCGCCTTGCCCTCGCGAACCTTGCGGTTCGCCTCCTTCTTCTGGGTACCCATTGCGAAATTAGGTGCAGCCGCTGCAGGAATCGGGGTATATACGGTGCTGGCGGCTTCCTCGCCTTTTGTAGGAGTGTGAAAGGAGTTGGAAGAAGTGAAAACTGCGAGGGATCGGGGTCGCAGTCGCAGGAGCTTGATGCTGCAGAAAGGGAAGATTTATGGCGGGGAGGGACCATCGACTTTTTTTCTCTTCGCCGTTCTGCCTCCCTAATTTTTTAGGTGGGGAACACGGAGCCACGGAGGGCGTTTGGCCGAGTGACCAATGGAAGGGCTTTATTGGCATGTTATTACTACCCCCAGAGACTGATGACACCCCCACAGTTGCGTTTCCCATCATTGCACCCGGAAGTATTAAGCTCACCCCTGGTGTTCGCGGAAGCTTTGACAATCCTGAGATTTTCTCTAGAGCATCGTGTCGAGCTTCATCATCCACCATCACTTCATCCAGCCAGCCAATCCCGCTCGAATCAATCGTTCGAGGCCACGACCATCGACTGGCTCGCCTTGCCTTCACCATGGCTTCCCGCTGCTCCTGCACGGCGCTCACGAAGCTGCCACTCGGCCGCTCGACCTCCCAATCCCTGACCTCCCGATCCTTCTCGACCACGACGTCCCAGCAAAGGGGTCTGCCACGCATATCCCCCGAGTCCCCCGACTGGATCCAGATCCCGCGCGCCCGCCAGGACCGGGCCTCCGAGTCCAAACCCGTCAAGCCCAAGGGCACGCTGCCCGTGCCTCGCGCCCTCTTCCCCGACGGCGCCCGCGACCCCAAGCTCCAGCCCGACTTCCTTGCCAAGTCAGCGCCCCTGCCCACGAACGCCGCCTCGCAGCAGCCCGCACGCCCCGGCTCCGCAACCGACGTCCGCCGCCGCATGGCCGAGCACCGGCGCGCCAACCTCGCCGCCGGCGTCGAGGGCCTCTGGCAGCGCAAGCAGCAGCACGAGGCCCGCCTCGAGCGCACGGCGGCCGCCCATCAGGCGCTGACGCTGCGGCGGCGCAACGCGCCCCGAGCGGGCCCGACGACGTCTTCACGCGCAGCACCGTCCTCACGGCCACGGCCCAGAACGTCGCCGTTGCTGCCGGAACCCCGAACCCTTTCGCCCCCCCCGAGGGCCAGCCGCCCCCCCAAACTGGCCGAAGCCCCCCCGAAAAAA